TCACCCTGTGCATAACTTAACCTTGAAGACAAGCCGGGGTGCTCTTAATGAAAATGTGCTTGGTGCTTTATTCTTAGCAATCTTTACAACTGTGATAATTTACCTTGAAACCCAGCACATGAAATGTAATTTCTAGCACTTGACATGAGTGTTAATGTATCTATTTATGCAGCACTGGTGCATTCACAAACATAGCTTCAATATCTCTCTATGCTCAGTGTAGTTATATATTATTTGGGCTTTTGATTCAAATCTGGTTCAAGCAGAATTAACCGGCAGCACCCAAAGACGCCATAAATGTTCAGTGCTCGTGATCAAAAATCCCCCCGACGTGAAACAGGCTTGGCAGAAATCTCATCGTGTGGGACTCAGTGACTCGAGGGCATTTTTAAGGACCTTTTCTGTTTTGAATTTGAATCTGATCACGGAAATAAATGTTTTTATGCACATTTATTAAGAAGTAGTCCAATAATTGTGGCCTGGCAAGAAGAGCAGGTCCATTTTTGCGAGAGACAAAAAAAACACACTCTGATAAAACATTATGCAAATGTGGACCAGTGACATCAGCATGCAGATTTCTGCTTTCTTCTTGTGGACACAGTCAGGTGATATGCAGTGCGTATTAAAAAAAACAACAGCTTTCCAGATTCTTTTTAGAAGCTTTACTAAGCTGCATTTAATGTAAAGGCATTAAATGCAGGATTCAGACTGTGTCCTCAGTTGTAAATAAATCCTGAGCCCGCTTACTTTACTAAAAACTATCCACACACTGAACGTGTGCATTTAACCACAGCAGGTTTTCTCACAAACAATACCCATTTGAGACTTCATCGTGATGAAGGCTAAAAGGTCTGTGCACAAAACGGTGATTCAAAGTGAACAGCATCCCTGCAGGCACTAATGTTGTGGCCGCTGAACTGTATAAAGACTGTATGGCTGCAGCTGTCAAAATCCTCAAAAAGACTCCTCTGGCTACATTAATATGCTTATTATATTTCAATTATTAGCTCATGCTCACAAGGAAGTGATTTTCATAATTGGTGTTTATAATACATTGGATCTAACAGAGGTTTTAAATTTCGGTCTTTAGTGTTCAATTTAAAGACAATAACTGATAAAATCTCACTTTTTCATTGCATAATTGGCATATCTTTGCAGGGCCATACACACCACAAATTCTAGGCTGTTGACTAAAATTCCTTCCGACAATTCAGCCCCGGGAGATACAACTAATAAAACATACTGTCTAGCTTTGGTCAAGTGGGACATCCATCATTTAAGAGCCTGACAGCAGTCACTGGCTGCTACAATATTCTGATTAAACAGTAAACCAATAAAATGCTTCAGCCTCTGTTTGTATACAGAATGTAAGTTCAATAGCCCGATCTATCAAGTTTTATCTTATTCCTGCTCTTGATATTATTTATGATTTCATATTTGCTATTATTACTCCATCAGTCTGGAGAAAGGACATGAAAGATGAGAGAAAGGAATATGTGTGACGCGATGAAGTTTCCAGATACAATTTAAACCTGTGGAAATCAATATATGTTACCTCATGTTTGCAACGAGGTTCGCCTGTTAAACTAACAACTGCATAGGGTCCGTGCTGTCTTGTAGATAGTCAGCGGATTGCAGGCGGCTACTGAGCAAACCAAAGACATCAGAGAGTTGAGGTAATGAAATTAGAGGGCAGTTTTGAGCAGCTTTCCTTGTCTGTGAACACAAAAACTATGAGGAGCTGGTGAATAAGAGCAACAACAAGTAGCTACTAGGGGTGCAACGATACTCGTATCGATATTGAACAGTGCTTTCGGTTCGGTACGCATATGTATCGAACAATACAAAATTTTTAATTTATTTTATCAACTTTCCTTCTGACGATGCTGTCTGTGTTGAGCGCTCAGTGGATCTGCGCTCGACAGTGCAGCCTAGGCGGAGTAGTCGAACACAGATTCACTGAGCGCAGGGGGGCAAGCTAGCAAGACAGAAGTTAAGCTCTCCTTGCAACATGGCAAATTGAACCTCGCCCACCCTAATTCAGATGTGGCGTTTGGAACTATTTTGGTTTTCATGTGACGTATGACCCTGAAGGTAAGCACGTCATGGACAAAAGTAAAACGGTATGTCGGTTGTGCCACGCAATGCTCAATTACATTGGTGGGAACTAGTATGTTAGCGCAGTTAGCTCGTTAACGTGTTGGCCGTCCAGCCCCACGCACAGGGCGATCCGCGGTAGCTCGTTAACGAAGATTTGCCGTGTTGTGGCGTTAACGTCATTTCAGATTAACGCTGACAGCACTAGTGGGAACACAACGAATATGACTGCACATTTACTCCGACATCATCCTAGTGCAAAGACAAGTGGAAGCACACAAAAACAACAAGCACGCATGCTACAAACTTTACCCGAGTCATTTAGACAGCCGTTAGCACATGATTCTCCTTATGGGGACCTGATATGTTTAATATGCTGCTGAGAATATAGCCCAGAAGAAGCGAATAGTATAGCTTTTATTTTGGAAAGAGCCATTTTTCTGTAATAAACTCTCTTTTCCAAAGATGAGTGATTTCTCGATCAGATAGATTTATTTTTTTATTACTTTGTTATTTCAGCAACATTAAATTTAAAAACTGTACTTTTGAGTTAAAATATATATTTATAATTTTAATAAATGACAAATTAAAAAGGCATGAACATTTTTTTTGTATCGAAAAACTATCAAACCGAACCGTGAATTTTGTGTATCGTTGCACCCCTAGTAGCTACATGTGGCAACAGTACTTTTAGACCAAGCACAGCTGGTGACAACAACATTATCATGAAAAGTATTGTGAGTTACAAAGTTTTGTATTAGTTTTACTAGTTAATTAATGTTAATTAATTGGGGCAACCGTGGCTTAGGGGGCTGGGAAGCGCATCTGTAACCGGAAGGTCGCCGGTTTGATTCCCGGGGTCTCTGTCCTGGTCGTTGTGTCCTTGGGCAAGACACTTGCCCAAGGACACAACGACCGCCTACTGGTGTTGGTCAGAGAGGCCGATGGCGCAATATGGCAGCCTCGCTTCTGTCAGTCTGCCCCAGGGCAGCTGTGGCTACAACTGTAGCTTGCCTCCAGCAGTGTGTGAATGTGAGAGTGAATGAATAGTGGCATTGTAAAGCACTTTGAGTGCCTTATAGCGCTATATAAATCCAATCCATTATTATTATTATTAATTGGTTCATATATTTTGTTACATGCTTTTGGACCAGAGCAACTTTTCCAAAGTTCTAGATTCTTCTCCTTGTTTGTGCGCTGGCACGCCCGATCTGATATCCCCGTGTTAGTGTTTTTAATAATGAAGTTGTCTGAGCATTCACCTAGCATTACCCAAGAAGTTAGCTAATGCTTTTAAAAAGGATCACTAGCAAACAAACATGAGTTACCTAAATTTGGCTACTGTAACAGCAGACCTTTAACTTGATAAAAATAGTTATTATATTGTATAAATTAATAATAGAAAGAAAAGCGCTTGAAATGCTTACAGTTTGTTCCAGAAGAGTTTGCATAAAGGTATTTCTTTCCCCCACACTGCAAAGCTATGACAATGCAACAATATGATTGGTCAGTTGCAATGGACCAACACTATTATGCTACTGCAGGAACAAGACAGACACGGGATATCAGATACACCGTGTCTTTACTACAGGATCCTTGTTGAAAGATCAAAGTTAATAGAACGTGCTTTCTGGGGTAAGTTTTAGCTTGAGTGACAGTATTGTGACTTTAAAAAGTCTGTGTAAACAATAGCAGAGGAACTATAGAAAGACGTTAGTGGCATAAATTATAGACTGCTTCAAAAATGAAACAAAACAGTGGTAAATGAGCCGACAGCAGAGTTGTCAAAAAAATGTATAGCAAAAAAAAATAATTTAAGATTATGTACTCATTTGCTACAGTACTTTTAGCAGTTATCTGATAGCCACATTAAATGTCTATTGTTATCTTTGAGGTGCTATAGCTAATAATAAGATGGTGATATTAATGTTGTTATCATTGCTACTGTGTGTAACATTAACAGACGGCGTTAATTCATCAGGATAACACAACTATTTGTGTCTTAAAAGCATTATCTTGATAAAAGTCTACCAGCAGCTACACAGAAGCTGTGGCAGCTTACCCTACCAACTCTATTTCATGGGCCATGTCAGCAGTAGCACACCGTTACTTGAGACGACCTAAAAATATTCTTTTGTTTGCTTGTTGCACAGTTGTCTCTATAGTTGTCTATTATAGGTTTTTTACTCAATGGCAGATCTGCAACGCAATTCTAATTTGTTAAAGCTAGCTGCTAGCTTTTCCCCTAAACTTGCTACCTGGTCATACGGACACCATAAATGAAAGATAATATAAAAAAGCCAAAAGAGGATTGCATTAACATTAAAGTACCACATATTGGGTCTGAATTGGTGTGGTTTATTGGAAGCTATCCTTGGTCACAGAACAGCATTTGCTGCTAATGAGGGCACAAAGGATTAGTTAGTCTGACTTTTAGCTATCATTACCACCACCAGGAGCTGTAGTCTGCCAGAGAAAGCCTCTCTGGATGCTTTGTGTCTCCTTGCATACTTAATATAAAAACAATAATATCTGGTAATGTTACATTTTATAACTTAAAAGACCACAAAATGGGTTTTCTCAACTACACATCTCCCTTATAACTGCATTATTATTGCAAAACCCACTTCACACAATATGACACACACTGCTTTGATTAAGGTGTTTCGAACTGACTGCCAACTGGCATCATCTTACTGTTCCTATTGGCTTTGTGAAATAGAAAAAAAGCCATTAAAGGTAAGTAACCCCCTTGGGTAGTTACCCTCAATGAGTCACTAAAACTGTTTGGTCAAAGGCACCTGTTCATTTATTTATCTCATATCATTCACTGTGAAGCACAGCACACTGTTTAATCCTTACCCCCAAACTAACTCTAAACTAACCCTCCACCCGCCCAGTACCTATATTTGCCATCTCAGGTACGGTGGCGCTGTAGGGGCCTTCATCAAAGACAGGCGGGTTGTCGTTGATGTCCTGCACCCGAATTATGAACTGTGACGAGGGCTCCAGAGCACGGTCGGTCTGCCTGTCGGTGGCCGTGGCGATGAGACGATACTCGTCCTTCTCCTCACGGTCCAGCGGCTTGGTGACATGGATGTTACCCGTTTTCTCGTCTATCACGAAGACCGAGCCTGCCCCTTCGCCTCGCAGGACATACTTTGTGCGTCCATCATTCCTGTCCATGTCAGTGTGGAGCTGAGTGAGGACGGACAGAAATGGGAAAAAAGAAAGACAGGGAAAAATGGAAGCAAAGAGGAAGGAAACGGGTGGAAATGGTAAGGAAACAGTGGGGAAGAAAGACAAGAGTAAACACCAGTTAAAAATTAAGTTTGTTTTTTTGAGCCAGTCAGTGAAGACAAAAAACAAGCAGATTATCTTCTGCATGCCTCTAGGATATAATGAATTTGAAAAGAAGCAGACAAAAGAAATAGGCACAGTACCCCCCTCTCTCACACAGACACACTTTCCTGCCATTGTGCTGTGTCTCATCTTTCTATTCCTGCAGTATGAGCAGTTATGAACCTGGATCTCCTTAATCTTAAAGCTATCCAGAACACATGCTCAAGTACTCACGCTTAAAGCCCCCATTCAGTTCCCAGCAGCTGTGGAAGAGGAGAGTTTACTAGTCTGTGCACATGCAACGCCTTGGCTATTTAATGAAAGCACCAAATCAAAGGAATAATAAACAGTAGGCCTATCAATTATTCTGTAACTAATAGGTGTGTATAAGTGAGGGTGGAGTTTGTGTGGCAATGGGACACGCAGTATCGATCGCAGCCCTGTTTTGAGGTTTATTGGATCAGCGCCTAGCGGGATGGCAGAGCAGCAGAGCGACCGGCGTCCTCTCATGCAGGGAGAGGTAATATCAGGGAAGGCTCCACACTGTCCTCCGTGACCGACGAGAGACAAGCCAGCGGGATGTGGTGAGCACATCAAGATTCAATCTCATTACCCCCAAACCTACGTGGATCGAATAGAAACTGTGACCAAAAAAAGGAGCGCTAAATTAGGCTCCGCTCGCAAGAAAGTGTGACATTGTGACTTTAGATGGAAAGGAGAGAGCAGAGAGGCGACTGGGGAGGGGATGGGTGGGTTTAGCTCAGAAAAGCATTGTTGCGTGGCAACAGCTAAGCACATTTGCTAAATGAAATGAGAATGGATACTGCGAATCGAAATGTTCATCTACTTTAAGGCTTGCTATTTTTCAAGTGGGGGGGGGGAATGGCGTGGATGTGCCAGCTTCATGGGGGGTAAACGATAAGCACGTGACACGAGACTGTCAGTTAAAAGTTAAAGCTAATTAAACAGCATGGCACAAAGTTAAACAGCACTTCACCTTCAGAAGATCTGTGTATTTTAATGACAACGTAAATTGGAAAATCTAAAGGCACACCCACCAACATGAGAGAGTGTTGCGTGAGCAGAATGCACAAGCTAGACATAGATGCACTGCTCTCCTGAATGTTTTTCTTTTCATGGACCTATAAATGAAAAATGCAAGGCCTTCAATAACTAGCTTAAAAATCTTCATGTTAGCTTAGTTCCTCTAAGCTACTTTAGTTATCACATAGGAGACGTGCTCCTTTATGTATGACCCTCTCTGCACGTTGATCGCCTTGGGCAAACGGATTGACAGACAAGACAGATCAACATTCACGTCTGTCACATTTGCATGTCCAGCTGACTATTTATGTTCAGAGTTTATAATTGTCTTCATTGTCTCTGGGGGCCCAGCACATTTTCTCCTTCTACCTCCAGTCAAATGCCTGGTTGACTGGAAACATGTATATGTATGGGTTCTTGCAACTCTTTGAAATTGGATGACCAGTCATTTGTGACAGGACATGATGGAAAAGGATCACTTCCGACATATTTCTCTCATATGTCCTTGTTGGGGTTTAGAATTTACATTACAAATAACATGTAGCCCCTGTAGCCAAGACCACCTTGGCAAGTAATCTGAGTAATTTTGATGCAATTGTCCAAGAGACCAAGTGTAAGGAGTGGCAGCTGCTCAGGCTGAGAAAAGAAACAAAAAAAACCCAAACTGAACATAGCATTAGCTGAAGCACACTATGAAGAAACATCAGCTGACCTCAGTGCTAGACTACATGATCTGATACCAACTGATACCATTCAGTTGGCAGGCTTTATTTAAGCTGCTTTAACCTGTCTATAGGTGATGAACATCTGCAAGCTGCTTTGCAACCCACCTCTACATTTCAGTTCCATGTTGTGTATGATTTGATTTGGTCATATTACTGCCATATCTGTTGTCAAGGATCCCTGCTTCCATTTGTCATGGCCTCTTACCAACGCCTCCCTACTTTTGGCTTTCTGTCTGTGCACGTGGATGAGTAGGGTCCCAAAACAGGAGGCAAGTTGATTATGAAGCAACTCGCTGCTGACATTTTCCACTGCAAAAATTTAGTGAGTGTTTAATATTCTTAACATCTCAATAATGAATCATCATGTTACTTTTATTAATTAGTTTCTCTTTTACCCACTTTCACTTCCCACCACTAACCTTCATTGAATGGGCCTCTTTCACAGCAGACTCTGAGTAGTCACAGCATGAAAAGCTCAAGAGCTGCTAATGACATTAAAGATGCCTCAGTTTCACTCAAGTATCTCAATGAGTTACAGTATGAAGGAAGCCACAGTCTCACGACTCTGAAAAAAAGGTGTTAAAATGAATCAGGCCATAATTAATGCTTTTTTATATATATATATTTTTTACACCTTTTACTACACCTATACTATTGTGAAGAAAGCTGTTCCCAAGTTATATGACTAGCCTGTCACTCCCCCTAATCAGTTCAGCCACTCCTTATCTCTACCTGCCCATAAGCACAAACTCTTTACCAGTCTTTCACTACAATGCTTGTCCCTGGGCTACCGCCTGATTTTACCTTTGCTTTAGAACCTGGTTCCTCACTGCCTGTCTGCTTTTGAGCTCACAAAACACCTACATAAACTCTGACAAGGCACATTATTTACAACCCAATTAGGACCTGACCGTGCAAATTCAATTATGGCATGTCTCATTTCTGTCGAACACACTCCATACATGGCATCCATATGGATGAACTTCCAGCCACCACTTGAGATCAGATTTCCCAACTCAAATATATGTTATTGCACCACCTATAGTAATAAAGCAGATAAATGGTCTCTCCATGTACCTCATACCCTCGGTACAATATAGCAACCCTATTAGAGGCAGTGTTGTAAACATTCAGGCAAACTGGTGCACACCTCACTTTCAGTGTATTTCAAAATGACACGCGGAAATTGTGCAAAGCACCAATGAGGCAAAAAATTTATTAGAAAGACACTTTACTAATCACTGTCTTTTAAAAAAATCTGCATCCACACAGCTGACAATGGGCCAAGACATTGTTGTGGCACTGGTTTATATGCAAACTAATTTTCTCTTCACTTGTTTTCCAGATCTAATTATTTGTTTTAGTCCATCACCAGTGCAAATTTGCAGGTTCAAAAGGTTTTGATATTTGAACAAATTAAGTATTTTTGCAGTCAGGGTCTCAAAAGTTCATTAAAAAGTATTTAAATTATGACCTACACAGTATTTAGGTTTCCTCTCATCTTCTAAGCAGGCCAACTGGGGCCAATTGGCCAAAACACCCGGCTGGTCGGGACCACCACGGGAGCCCGGTTCCTCACTCCCCTTAACGAAGAGCCATTAACAATCAAAGTCTTAACGGCCCTGCAGCTTAACGAGGGGACTTAACGAGCTTCTTAATGAAGCCCCAGCCATCATTACCACAGTGAGTGGTGGCAGCACTGATTGAAAGCACTGCTCAGAGTCATTCTGAAGCAGGAGAGACCAGCCTAAGGAAACCAAATCCATTTAAGGCTGACCTCTCACCCTTATCTGTTCTTCCAAGATTAATAGGAAAGTATAATAAGGGAATGCATTTAACCACATAATGGCTATGGGTAATTTATGGCTACAGAAACGTGTGAAAATAACCAAACAATTTTATATATAACACAACTGGCTATCACCATATTTCACATCAGAATGATATGACATCTCATAACTCGTACATTTCATATCCCTCTGATATACCATCAAATATATCAAGAGCCAAACAATATGAAGCCACTGGCCACAAAAGCCAAATTTACTGTTGTGTCACCTCTGCTTGCAGAATGATTTCAGCCTGATAAGCTGCCATTCCCATTTTCTTCACCGCCTCTTGTGTATGCAACACCCAGCCTCCCCAGACTCCTAAATCTCTTCAATTACTTATATTATCATAAGGTAATATGCTTATACTCATATACTCAATTTCACATTTTTGCAATAACCATAAATCATGAAGCGAGGAGGAAAAGTACTCTCTGCCAACCTCTAAATCACTTAAATAACTAATATCCCGTATACACAATTTCACATTTCTGCTGCACAATAAATCATAAAAACACCAGGAAAATGTGTTTTTTCCACAGCTGTGCATTAGCCTAATGAATGTGGATGTTATTCCCTACAACTTCAGTGTGTGTGTGTGCGTCTGATGTGCTTGTGTGCTTTGAGGCTAAGATGGTGGTTAGGTTACAGTAATAGAAAAAAAAAAAGATAAAGTGCGGTAAATCAGGTGGCGGCTCACGTGAAATGCCGATAGGCGTACACCACCGAGCCCTGTGATTGGCAGTGGGGTTCAATTCCCAAACACATCAGGAAACGTCTGCAAGGTCACGCAGGCAGGTGTGAGAATACCGACCCGTCTCCTGTTGAAGCTGTAAGAGGGGAAGCTATTCATCTTGTGCATGGTGACTTCAAGAGAGCCAGAGGTCTATGGGACCACCACCAGCTCCAGCAGTCAAATTCTGCAGCAAGGCTGGGTGAGGGTAAAAAGGGAGGGGTTACCGTTGGTGGGTGAGTGGGGAGGGGGGCAGCTGAGGCTGAGCCAGCTCCGTCATATCAGCCGGGGAGTGTCAAGCAGGGCAGAGGGTAGAGGGTCAGCCAATCGATTTGGAGCAGGCCCACCGATTCGGAGAGATGTCTAAAGAAACGGGCCGATCAGGGAAAACGTCAGGAAAATTAATTTGGGACAGAGCCCACATGAGTTCAGAGAGCCCGTTTGAAATGAAACTATGCCTTGTGGCCAGCTTACCTACCACCGCAATATCATTAGTTTTGCTTGAGGGTATGTGTAAGCATTTAT